GAAATCATTCTCGGAACAAGAACAGCAGAGCCCATGAAACAAGTAACTATTCAAGCTAGGTTCCAGGAGTTATAAAACATTGCAAAGACCAAGCAAGTTTCATAATCTCTGACTGCATGTGCAGCTTTGGACGCACTCGGAACAATGCCCAGCGATTCTGGGCACATTTGTGAGCAAGTCGCTGGTAGCCGTCCTCATAGGCATGAGCACATTCTAGAAATCTGAATGATATAACCCCACAACATCCATCACATCTAGCAACAGCCAGCAGAGCTTTGCTAACAAGGCAGTGCCACCAGCATCTTCCAGCCAGCTTCGATGGCCACACGAGCTTCGTCCCTTGTCAGAAAGATCCCAGCACGATAAATTGTGCGAAAGTGTAAACCACAGGCTTGGTGAGTCCATCGAAACAGTCGGAAGAGATCCAAAAACTCGGGTGCCTGGGCGGTACACAAGTGCAGAACTGGTGCATCTATCAATCGTGGAGTTTGCAGAAGTTCAATGGCCAAGTATTCCATGTAGGGTCGGGTATCCTAGGGCTTAGTACCTGCTTCGAAGGTGCCAGCGTTGTCTCATCCACTGATTCGAGCACAGATTGTATCCAAGCATTCATGAGGCCACAATCGTGCCCTTTGCCACACCCCCTCGGAAATTGTGTAAGCCTGCAAATGCATCTTATAATAAAACGATCTATAGTAGAAGCCAGAAAGTTGGAACATGGATATAGGAGGATTAGTGCTAGGATCCCTTATATACTTTAAAGACATTAAGGGCATGAGGATAATGATGTTCCAACTTTCTGGCTTCTACTGTAGAGCATTAACTACCGAGCCGATCCCCTAATGTAACCCCTAACCTCTAAACACTGCACGTAATATGGCACACAGTCACCAGCCCAGATAAGTGCCGAAGAGCTGTTTCACCTTCAGGATCTCCTTGCTGAAGTGTGTTATGGATGTGGTCTTGTGATGTAGGGTGCAGTATTCCCTGAAAAGGCCATAGCCGTGGTCCAGTGACACCTGTAATGATCGACCTGGCAATATTGCCATCCGAACCATTAAAACAAGTGAGGAACCGCAGAAATCTTTCCCCCACCCTTGGATGGCGTATGTGTGCGCTACATCGACCCTCGATGCATGAGGGATGTCTGCGATCGTGGGTATGCTCCGGAGGGCAGCAGGAGGTTGAGACTGTTTGTATGGATCCTCTGGAGCATCTTCATGTGCAGCTGTCGCAGCAGTCTTGGAAACATCATACCATTTGTCCTTGGAGGCTTTATGTGGGGAAATTAACCCTGCCTGTGTCGATAATTGTTACGTATATACCCATTAGCTGAATAACAAGTTCTGAACCTGGACTAGGATTCTGTGTTGCATAAATGGCACTTTCTTGTGGATGTAAATCCAGTCTTGAGCCTCATGGCCTTCCGCAAAAATGGCCAATCACCTTTCACTCCGATCAATACCAATCGCACGATCATTCTGCGGCCTTTATGTGATACCTAGGTCAGGGATTAGTTGTAGCTGTATATGCAGTATAAATGCCCTATACCCCAAACCAAATCGACAAACTAGCAATAAACAACTAGCCAGCAGATGAAGTAGAAGCCACACATACCCCATTCTCATAAAGCTCTCCGAGGTCTTTGGCCAGGGCAGCGAGCAGAGTGTCGATGGTCCGGTCCCCCCAATATGTTTCTGAAGGGATCACTGTGAACAGCATGCGGCTTGCCAGGGAGTTCCTTACAAGTTAGCTTACCGATTGCTAATAAAAATTCAATAAGAACTAAATTTTGGGATGTCGGGTTGAAGTAGGGGCTAAAATGTGGTTGACCGGACACAATCGCATATTGACTTCCTGCAGGCCCCGCAGTCCAATCAGCGGTTGTATCGAGATGCACATAATCGGTCGTTTAGAATTCCCACGGCCCTCATCTCCATGGACCAGGATAGGAACTGAAAGGCCTGCAACATCTTGATAATCAGGTCTTTGAAAGAATGGAAAGCTTGGGTCGATGGCCTGGAACTTTCGCCAAAAGCTTCTGAATCTTTGCTGAATCGATGCTTCAGCATCCAGGCAGTCCCCAGCAAGGAATGTTTCTCCGCCGACAGACAGTGAATATCGCAACCAACTCGATGGCATCAGCACCGGCATGTTTATGCTCTCTTTTCGAATCTTCCCCTTCCGAAGAAACCTCACTGGAGTCCAGACGGAGTTCACACTCACATTCAGGCATCGGCCTTGCCGATGGATCAATCTATGTAGATTTCTCGAGGCATTGATATACCCCCTCCCACCAGTTCCACAGGCTGCCAGTTGATTCAAGTAGCGGTCTGAGTGTCCTTGCATTGCCGGGATTTAGACATACCCAAAATCGGATCTAGCACTAATAGGTAATAGTACAGAGCCCAGATAGTAGTCCCTAGCGACATATCAATTCCCAACTAGTTTACGGTTTAAATCAATTGGCAGGATGAACTGAGCCTTGGGGCCAATCTTGCGTAGCTTCCTGGAAGCCACTTGGGCAAGTCGAACCACCCGTCGCGCACTCTCGGCCTGCAATCATGCTAGGGTATCCTCAACATGGGTACAACCTCAATCCACCTAGTACGTGTCCTCTCCCAGAAGCTATGCTGAACTGCTTGCCGCACGATTGGCCCCAGCTTCAAAGCCCACAAGAAGCTCATCAGCCAGGTCATCGTCGGTCGGCTCATCTCCTGCGAGGACACATTTAAGAAGGATTTATAGATGGGTTGGTGCTAGGGGATTTAGGCTGGGATTTTTGGTTAAGGAGCCGGAGCTTTGGACATCAACATAGCATTGCAGGGTGGTGGTATGTAAGAGTGCCATTGAGGATTGCTTGGGAACTTTTCTAGGGTTTGAACATATTAGAAGTTCTTGGAAACATCACATAATGGATGAGTTTGGGGACGACTTGTTCAGCACGGTTTGGGTTTGGTGCACCTATATTAAATAGGTTTTGGTCGAGGTGCACAGCTCAAGAACTTAAGGATTGTAAAAATAAGCACACCCAGTCCCTATACCATGACCCTGGAGCTTTTCGGGGTTTCTACTTAATATAGAACTTCTACTGAACTGGTTTCGAGCTTCGGTCAGGAGGGTTTTCGGACTTGGGAAGTATATACAACAGCTTAGACCCTCTTGGCATAATGTTTGCGGACCGAGTTTATGGCAGGTGGAAATCTTAAGAGTTGCACCATTGAGGTTTGGGGTCACAGGGTTTTCGTGGGGCCTGGGGTTTGAATTAATTTTAATCGGGTTTAGGGTCTAGGACTTCGTAGGGTTAGCAATATTGAACTAGCCCACTTGGCCCACCTGAATCACTCTCGGAGCTGGCATCACCAGACAGCAGGCCTCGCAAGCACATGATATGTAGACTAAATATTATAATGTTTGCAACGACATGCGCATATCTACACATCAAAACTCCGTGTTTTCAGCGGTCGCAGATTTTGCCATGATAACCCCAGGCACAGATACCGGCACACTGCTCGATAGTGTGCTTTTGGAAGAGCACAACAACACACCAACAGGGCCTCATTGAAGCCTAGCTCTGCCAGCCTAGCGAATATATCTAGCTACATACCCCAGCCCCATTGATCTGCTGCACGGCTTTTCTACTTCCTACCTCAGAAAAGAGCCCACACCAGCACTAAGCACTGGCTCAATCCCTTTTGGATTTGGGCTTGGGAGAGCCCTTGCCATCCTTCTTGTCCTTCTTCTCCTTTGCCGACTTAGATTTTTTATCCTTCTTGTCCTTCTTGGCTTTGCCACTGTTCTTGGGCTTGCTCTTCTCCTTCTTGGCTGGCTTGTCAGTAGATGAGCCAGCACCACCTTTCACAGACCTGAGATGATTGAACTCGGGATGCTAGTTACATGCATAGCATGCAATGAACTTGATAATTCAGCTCTGTGGCCTTGCCCTCACGACATAGTTGTTCATAATCAGGTCTTGCTTCGTCGTCTCCGCAAACAAGCGAAGCAACGAGTCTGAGAAGGGCCTGTGGTAGCAAGCACCATTATGTCCAGCTATCTATCACACTTATGACAGATCAAAGACGAGCTAAGTTTTGTACTTGTCGACATTGCAAGTCAAGCTTTCGGACTGCTTCACAGTCAGCTTGTTGAAGAGCTCCCGCATACTCGACAGAATCGTCTCGAGCTGATCCCTCAGCCTTGGTTTGTGCAACAACACAGAGACAGCTACTACTGGTCTAGACATGCTACAGACGAGTCACGTCTGCGCCCGTGTGCCACCGATCTTCTTCAGCTTGTCCTTATCAGCCAAGCTAGCAAACTAGGACTGATAATTGAAACGGCTACATACAAACCAAGTCTCGAGAACATCGACGGTGTTATCGATCTTTCGCCCAAGCACTTCGAGAAAACCCGGTAGGATACTCAACGGCGAGGCTGTCTGCTGAAGGCTTGGAAAGGTGAGCCTAGGCAGGTTGCCCAAATTGAGCTCCAAGGTCGGTAGCACAGTCATTGCTGATAGCACAACTTCCATATACTGCCACGACACTTAAACGAAGCTGACGAAGAGAACGATTCCAGCTGCTCTGCCTGCGCAGAGGATGCTGCTGCTGCACCATTGGCCTGGCCACTGGCGATGGCTGCAGCATTGGACTCGATGTCCGGCACATCGCCCTCGAGGAGGAAGCCGGAGTCTTCCTGCAAGATCGATTATATAGCTTTGGATTAGATCAGCTTACAGTTTACAGTTTAGGGCTTAGGGTTTAGGGTTTAGGGTTTGGGCTTTTGTTGTATTTGTAGATAGCATTGGCAAGTGAGTCACAACTGCACAATTTGTTTCACTCCTGCACATCCGTTCCACCTTGCATCGTGGTTTCGTTGGTGGTCTGGTCATTGGCCTCAAAGGCCTCATCCAAGATGAGGTTGGCTTCTTCCTCACCATGGATGCTGTTGCGTCGGATGTTCTTGGTGTTGGTTGCCCATGTCCAGGCAGAGGAAATCATCTTCCTGGATGGCATGTACTACAGTAGCTAACATCAAACATGGTAGGACAGCCTGTTGCAGATGAATGATGCACACGATACAAGCCGAGTTCAGGGCGGGGTCCAGTGCATGGCTGTCCCAAGGAAGTGCTTGGTCACCCACTTCCCCGACTTTTTCTTACCGTAGGAAGCCGTGTGGGTTTTGCGTAGCTGCAACTCCAGGCACTTGAAGTTGCCATGCTTCAGAAGCATTTCCTTCAGCTTCTTACCTTAGGCACACCCGATTACAATCTCTCGATAAAAACTACACAACACAGAGATCCCATTGCACAGGCTGCAAGCAGAGCTGCGGCCTTCGGATGTTTTGTACAGCGACAAGGCAGCTTCCGAGCACTTGAGCTCCCCGGAGCACCGGGGTTCAAAGTATCGTCGCATCCTTGAAGGATTTCTGCGAAGGGTCTATGCCTAAAAAAGGTCGAGGGTTTAGGGGTTAGATCAAATAATAGCATGATGTATCCACAGAGAATCCTTCTAATGTTCAGGGTTTCAGGGCTTAGGGCAGGGATAGATATTATGCTGGCTTATAATATGGTTCAGGGCTCCTTCTAGGGTTTTTATATAGGGTTCAGGGTCTCGGGCTAGATCCTCAGTTTAGACAACCGATATGTTGACTATATATACAATATATATATATATATATATATATATATACATATATATATATATATATATACCTACCTATACCTATGAAGTGTGCATTTTACTTGGATACCCACCAAACTCCTTGCCTGCCTACCCAACATTCTACCAACATGCCAATCTTTGTGCTACCTTGCCACGACCACAAACCAACCAATATTCAGTCTACCGACACACTCCTGCCTAGCTACATATATATAGCTACCTCATATATATATATATATATATATATATATATATATGTATGTATATATATATGTATATGATAATATATATATATATATATATACATATAATTTATTGTAGATGTGTGTATGTATATATGTATATAAGCCCACACATGTAGAAAAAACAGCAGTGCTTAAACATGCATTGGACAAGACGAGCAGAAGTGTGCACATACACATGTGTGCATATAATCTCTCACACACACACAGACATGCAAAGAAACCCAATGCATCCAAATGTCCTCCAGTACGTCGGCGACTTTGATCGATGGCTCTTTCGAGGGGCGTGGCGGTTTGAGGAACCGGTACCGGGGCTGCTGTGCGGGTGACTGGATCTCGAGGTATCAGGAGAGCTTAGCTCGGCAGTAGAGCTTCTCTTGGTTGGGGTGAAAAGCTTGGGCTTGCTTGCTCGGCCATTGTTGGGCTCCCGAGTGCTTGCTCGGCCATTGTTGGAGTCCGGATTGCTTGCTTGGCTGTTGTTGGACTCTGGCTTGCTTGCTGGGCTGTTGTTGGGCTCGGGCTTGCTTGCTTGGCTGTTGTTGGACTCCGGCTTGCTTGCTTGGCTGTTGTTGGACAGCGGCTTGCTTGCTGGGCTGCTGTTGGACTCCGGCTTGCTTTCTTCAGTGTCCTTGGGCTGTGGTTCGATTTTGCTCTTCTTCGGCTTCGGGATCTCGGGCTCCGGCTTGCTTGCTTTGTCCACAGGCTCAGTTGGTTTCTCTGGGCTGGGTCTCGGCCATTGGCGCTGGGCATCTTCTACAGCACTGTCGTATCCCAGGGATTCGGTACTGCCGACCCCACTCACCAGAGTATCAGCGCATGGTGGCATCGTCAAGGCACCGGGCACGGCCAGGTGGGAGGTCTGTCTTGCCAGGCATGGTGCACCTCGTGCATAGATTAATGCAATAACATACAGACAAGATATCTGTATGTGGTCAGTGTAACACAAAGCATCGCAATGCTGTGTGGACTATACCCTGCCATGTTAAAAAAACATGTGTAAGTTGTAGTGTGCAATGCATGTATCTATATACCCGAATATATATATATATATATATATATATATATATATATATATTAAATATATATGTATAATATATAGGTATACACAGATTATATAGGTTTGCATATATGTGTGTATGCTGTACATGCATTTACAAATATATAATGCATATACATATACAGACACACACACATGTGGTTATGTAGTGTGTGTGTGTATGTATGCATGCATATATGCATGCATATGTATATACGTATATATATATATATATATATATATATATATAGATAGTGTTGTGTGAATGTGTATGTGTGTATGTGTAACATATATTGTATATATGTATATATATATATATATGTATGTATACATGTATGCATGTATAAGCATGCATATGCATGTATGTATAATATAGTGTCTGGTCCAGATACATAACCCGATCCCACTAGAGTTTGCAATTGCTGCTTATGACCGATATACAACAAAGCTAGGGGATTGCTTAGGGTGGTATAGGGCTGTAGGTTTGCCTGGGTTGATGCTGTTGCTTTTCTGGGGCAGAGTGGAGCATGAGTCTAAGCATGGTAAGGGCCTCCAGGGCTTGAGAGCAGATTAGGGACCCGAAGGATTGAGGATGCTTTTTGGGGGATGACTTCATATATGTATACGACTGGGTGTTGCGGTTCGAAATCAAATGCTCCTGGGCTCTACTGATCGAAGCTTGCATATATAATATTCTCTAGCTTGACTGATTGCAGAATAGCCACCAGACGGGCCAGCCTCGGAGCGGGGCCGGGGCTTGCCACGTGCAGCCAGCTGGGCCTGCAGGGCCTGGATCCTGGCCCTGGAAGCCTTGGTTGGGATATGTTTTAGCTTTGTTTTCAAGGCACATGTATAGGGTTTTAAAACAGGGCTTTAGGGATTTTAAGGGAGTTAGGTGTCGGGATCAAGCTTTATGTGAAATCTTGTACTAACAGACAAAGGGCATCGATCCTGCTCTGCACATCATGAGCTTGCTCTGGCTGCGACATGGAGTTGCAGGCAAGGAGTGGCACAGCTTCCACCAACGAGTTACACGAAAACAAACGGGAGGTCATCGAGTGACCCACCTACACTAGCAAAGCTAAAGAGCCTGTGAAGTCAAGGAGAATCACTTCTCGAAACCACTCGCACATGTTCATACTCCGAAAGCATGCAGGTTGCTGCTTTCGCATCCACGAATGCAAGATCGAGCTGCCAGGCATCACCCGTGCTTTGCACACACGAATTGAATGCAACTATGCATGGGCTTAGGGTTTTAGCCTTAGGGTTCAACCCGAAATACAGCCGATTTGGGTAGTTTATGGCCAAAAGGAAAATACGGTTTGCTACGCTTTTTGGGTTTGCGGCCGGTTGCGGGGATTTGCGGCCGGGTTGCGGGTATTTGCGGCCGGGTTGCGGGTAAAAACGGCCGAGCAATTCAACGCAGAAGCCACCAAATGAGCTACATTATGAAAAGAGTCCGAGGTATTCCTGGTGTAGACACCAGGCTCTCCTAACAACACCAAAGGTTTAAGTGAACACCCCCGAGAAACACCTAGGCCTTATATAAAAGCACCCTTAAAGCCGGCCCATCACTGCCCAAGACCCACAATGCTCGAAAGCTCCAGTTGCCGCAGATCTTCGCGAAGAGTGGTGGATCCACATGCCTGGGCTTCTAGCTACTAGCTGTAAAAGCTACTCACTACTATACTACTACTACTACTACTACTACTACTACTACTACTACTGCTGCTGCTGCTGCTGCTGCTGCTGCTGCTGCTGCTGCTGCTGCTGCTACTACACTACCTAGTACTACTAGCTACTACTACTACTACTACTACTACTACTACTACTACTACTACTGCTACTGCTACTGCTACTACTACTACTACTACTACTACTACTACTACTACTACTACTACTAGTACTACTACTACTACTGCCACTACTACTGCTACTACTACTACTACTACTACTCCTGCTACTTCCTCCTCCTCCTCCTACTACTACTACTACTACTACTACTACTACTACTACTACTACTATACTACTACTACTACTACTACTACTACTACTACTACTACTACTACTACTACTACTACTACTACTACTACTACTACTACTACTACTACTACTACTACTACTACACTACTACGATTACTACGATATTGCCACCCTAGTAGCTTCTACCTACTGCAAAACTGCTACTTCTAGCTACTACTACTAGTACTACCACCACACCAGACCACCAACACCGACACCACCCACACCAAACCCAACACCACCACCACCCCCCCACTGCTACCACCAACACCTCCAGCAACAATACCACCCCACAGACCACCAGCACCACCCACACCAGCAGCAGCACCACCATAAAAGCCTCCCAGCTACTACATACTACTATTACTACTACTACTACTACTACTACTACTACTACTACTACTACTACTACTACTACTACTACTACTACTACTACTACTACTACTACTCTACTACTATACTACTACTGCTACAACTAGCTATACTACTACCACTACTACTACCACTCCGGCTGCTACTGCTACTGCTACTGCTTCTTCGACCACTGCTACTACTACTACTACTACTACTACTACTACTAGTACCACTACTACGACTACTACTACCACTGTGGCTGCTACTGCTACTGCTACTACTACTACTACTACGGCTACTACTACTAGTACTACTAGTACGACTAACATATACTATACAACTCTTGTGCTGTTGCTGCTGCCAGTATCTTCTTATATACTAGCACTAATACCAGCATTGCTAACGGCGGCACTGCCTACAAAACCCTTCCTCCCAGTAGTTTGGTAGAAACCCTCAGCCCCAGACCCACACAAGATACCGAACACTGCATCTTGGAAGGCAAACCAACTTCGAATTGCACAACGGCTTCAGGAACAGCCGGCTGCATTTGAGGTTAGGTTTCAGGTTTGATATTATGAAGCCATGGCTTTCTGGATTTGGTATCACTGGGGCCTGTGGTTTGAGGTTGGGGTTTGCTTCAGTGTTCTGGAGCCACAAGGTGTGGGGTTTGGGCTGTGATGACC